TCCCAATCGGATTTTCGGAAATCAAAATCAAATTGAGAAATCGATCAGAGATAGGATGTCGCATCTAAAGTCGAAATCGGAAGTATATGATGATTTTGAATTGATAACTTAATGTTTTTAACATTTTTAAAATAGTTAACTTGTTTGCACTCCAACTGTTTGATGAAATGTATAAACTAAATTACCACGTTATATTCACATATGAATATGTTTTCTCACCTGAATCTGTATATGATTATTAAAAACACAAAACAAATATGCAAGTCTGTATATTATTCATATGTGAATAACATATAAAAATGATATATATTTGTTAAAATACCTTCAATATTCATATGTGAATATACCTTGTAATATTCATATGTGAATATATTGTGTAATATTTATAAGTGAATATATCATCTAATATTCACAAGTGAATATACTCTGTAATATTCACATGTGATATAACATGTAATACTATGTAATATTCACATATGAAATATCATTTAATACTCATAAGTGAATATGTCATCTAATATTCACAAGTGAATATACTATGTTAATATTCACAAGTGAATTCATCGTCCAATATTAAAATATGAATATACTATGTTTATTATATGCTATATTCATATATGAATGATACTTAAATTGTAAAAAAAAATAATAATAATAAATAAATAAATCATACTTTTTATTCATAAGTGAATAACGAATGTACTGTAATAAAACCTGATGCATTGTTATTCATTTATGAATAACGATAACTGAAAATATAAATAAAAAAAAAATTATTTTATCTTAAAACTATATCAATATGGATGTCTATTTGTAAAGAATAAAAAATCATGAATTTTGGTATATTTAAAATCATTTTTTGATAAAAAATTTAAAAAAAAAAAAAAAAAAAAACTATGTTTTTCTATATATTAAGGTAATGATTAGCATAGTTTAAGGAAATATGTTATGTTGGAAAACACATGTGCATTCGTTTCTCATTTTCACCGGTACGTTGGAACCTTTTATCGTAAAAATAAATGATTGGCTGAGAATGATTCCCTCATTCTCAATCTTTTTTTTTTCTCAATTGAACCCTCACCTCTATATATATATATATATATATATATATATATATATATATATATATATATATATATATATATATATATATATATATATATATATATATATATATATATATATATATATATATATATAGAGAGAGAGAGAGGGGCAATCCTTTACTAAAATATCTCTCTTCCTATCTCTCTTATATATATATATATATATATATATATATTATATATATATATATATATATATATATATATATATATATATGAGAGAGAGAGAGAGAGATATTTTAGTAAAGGATTGCCTCTAAGAACCTTTCATATATGCCCGCAAAGATCATCCTCTTGTTAAGAGGCAGCATATAGTAAACTTATATACAAAGTTTGGGCCGGATTATATATGTGGGCCGAGAATAGAAAGCATAAAAATCCACAATATAATTCACTAACATCATGCGCTTAAATTTCCAAAATCCATAACAACTGTTATACACTTTTTCATTACTAAGTAAGGTTCTATACGAACTAAACGTACAGCAAACTGTTAATAAACCGTTATGTGGGAATTCGTTTATGTTCGTTTATTTAATAAATGAACGGACACGAAGATTAATGAACAATGGTCTCGTTCGTTCAATTATATTCGTAAACGTTCGTTTATGTTCGTTCATTTTATGTTCAAATATGTTTAATCGTGTTTCATTACATTACTATATTATATGTTCATTTATGTTTATATATGTTCAATTATGTTGTTTTTATCTTTGTTCGTTTATGTTCGTTTAATTTGTTCACGAACATAAACAAACGAACATGAACAATGTAAATTGTTAAACGCATGAATATTAACAAGAAAACTCGTTCGTTTATCCGTTCGTGTTCGTTTATTTGTTCGGCTAACTTAAATGAACAAACATGAACAAACTCTCGTTTGTGTTCGTTCGGTTCGCTTACAGCCCTATTTACAACTCACTTTTTGTGATAAGCGCTTATATATGGAATAAAAATTATGTGCTTTTAGCATTACTACATCAAATTTATAATATAACATGGTAATCATGTCAATGTCACCATAAAAATTTTATGAGAAAAAAAGTAATGTCGCTTTTTTTAATTTCCTAACAAACGTAAATCATTGGGCCCAATGGTGCATCTCCACGTCTCCACATTAGATAAAAGTCAAATACGGCAAAAATACACGATACAAAATGAAATTTGGATATGCTTTTCATATTGTCTATAAGAAACATGATGTCGTGTCATGTCTTCTGTTATTCGTGTTTGTTATATTTGAATTAACTTTTCTTTACAAGAACTTGTGTGTTTGATGTGTTTTTATTTTTGTCGCGCTTGTCGTGTTTTTATTGAATCGTATTCGTGTTAACATGTTATCGTGTGATGTCTTGTTCGGTTTAAAGAAAATAATGTATCATGTCATTGTTAGGCAAAGATACAAAATGACCGACCCATTTTACATCCTAATATTACATGATTGTAGCATGCTTGCTTTATAGATTAAGCTTTTACTCAATCATATACCTATATATTATATTATATATACACACAATTAGTTAATGCCCTGGCCCATTGGGATCATGGGTTTCTAATCATACACACGTGAGAACTGAAGTCAAAGTCACTTTGAATTGTTGACAAAGATAAGCGAAAGAATAGTCACCAGATATATTCAAATAGGGTCACATGCATATATAGATGTTCCCTGAGAAAATGACTTTCATTGGTCTACCACCCAAATATGCATGTTCCCTCTCAAGTCTCAACAGGACTTCAGAAAGCTATATGTGTTACTTGGGACCACCCTACCAATCAAGAAAAGAATGAAAGAAAGCTCTTCAACAAATACATTTCAAACTACTAGAGAGATGAATGTACTAATAAATTATAAAAACCAAGAAAGACATCCGATTTAACAATTCCGATTGAAGTTTATTGATAATGAATTACACTAGCTATAGAAAAAGAAGTTAATTGTATTCTAAATGGTTGTGATTAAAAAGATAGATTAAACATTTTATAATATTTTTATTGTAATTAAATATGATTACATAATGCAAGTTAATCTCCAAGTCTCCACATTACATGAATATTGTAGCATGCTTGCTCTTTTTTATTCTTCTATAGCACAATCATGCATATGCTTTTTTTTTCTTCTAGTGGAATATCACCTAACTATTCAATTTCATTACAATACACCATATTATTTCATGAATCCACTCCACATTATGCAACATCAAGGTTAAATAACCACCATTGCATATTATAGATTCATATGCTTGACATTCAAGCGAAGTTGAACACCATGAAACCTTGATGTTATATGAGTCAAACAAGAAAAACAACGTAAATGTCAATATATATTCATTGATCGAAAATAGTAGAATTTGATGACATAATGTTTAAGAATATCTACAACCACATACAAAGTACCTTCATCGCCTCATTAGTTTCGACTCCTATTAAAAACAAAGTTTCATATATAATCTTGAAAAATGCATAGATTTTCAAGAAACACCATACCCTCTAAACTCTAAACTGTACCGAGTGTCCTTCCTTAGTATTATCATCGGGTAGACCAATCACTGTCTCCTTAAGAAGCTCAATAATGAGATGAAAAATACGTATTTTCACTTCACCTCGTTTAGGTGGAAGCCTTGCAATCGGTTTCAGTAACACCAAGCCTTTCATCATGTAGGTTGCGTACGTTTTTTCAAAAAGATTCAATCTTGGAGGAGCGAATGAATTTGATGTACATATTGAACTAGGAAATAAGTAGGATCACACATTTATACCCATACAAAGCCATCTGGGTCTTGCGTAATATCGTGGAAAACACGAAATTTAAGTGGCAATAATAGCTACATTTCTAATCATTCACACGTGATGATTGTAACATGAAGAGAATAAACAACTCAAGTCAATCAAGCCACATCAAATTGTTGACAAAAAGGGAAAGAATAGTCATTTCACTTTATAAATATATCCAACATGTTCCCTTTGAATAGGACTTTCATAGGTCTACCACACCAACATGTTCCCTTTGAAAGCTATGTCACTTGGCACCATCTCACAAACAAATTGTTGTTTTCTTGAAACATTGTACGGAACAATTAAAGCAACAAAAAATCAATAGTTCGAAAATAACAGAAATTTATGAGAAAAAGTAAAATCACTTTTTCCTAACAAGTGCAAATCATTGGGCACAATGAAGACATCTCCAAGTCTCCACATTACATGAATGTAGCATGCTTGCTTTTGCTTTTCTTTTGCATAATCATGCATATGTTTGTGTGGTCAAAAGTGGTCATGACTACCTTTCTAACTAGTGGGATACAATATAAAATTCTAAAGACTCATGGTTCCATTCCAATGCACCTAATTGTTCGATCCAATTCCATTCTGATTTTCGTAACATGCATTTATCAAATAAATTCATGTGTTTTTAGTAGACTATGTCATGGTAACTTGCTTCAAATGCTTACCATAGAAGAGCATAAACTCAAAACACGAAGAAAAATGACATAAATATCAAACCATATGTGTACATTCATTGATAAAAAAAGAGTAGATTATGATGACATAAGCTAAGACTAGTACTAAAATCCTCAAGCTTCATAATCTTGAAAATGTGTATATATTTTCAAGAAATATCATGATCATCCTTAGATAGCATATTTCGAGTAGACCAATCACTTTCTCCATATAAGCTCGATAATGAGACGAAATATACGTATTTTCACTTGACCTCTTTTAGGTGGAAGCGTTGCATTCAGTTTCATTAAAACCAAGCCTTTCATCATGTTGGTTTTTATTAAAATTTTCAATCTTGGAGGGAGATAATTTGATGTGTTGAAAGAAGATATGAATATGAGCACATATATATACACAAGGCCATGGGTTCTACATCTTGGACACTATAATGAAAGACTAGTAAATAGTAATTAGGTGAGAATGATAGCTATGTTTCTAATCATGCACACGTGATGACAGTTTAAAAAGAGTAAACAACAACTAAACATTACAAGACAAAGTCAAGTCGCTTAAAATTGTTGACAAAAAGGAAAAAAGATTAGTCACTTCATATATCCACATAGGGCCAAGATGTTCATTTGTTCCCTGAGAAAATGACTTTGAAAGCTATGTTATGTGGGACCTCCAGACAAACAAATCGCTGTTTTCCTGGAAACATAGCATTGAACAAAAGCATAGAAGAGATCAATACTTCAATAGTTTGAAAAAAGTATTCAATCTTGTTGAATTCAAGAACAGTGTATAAAGTCTACCTCTTGGATTACATTATAGACATAGTCAAGATTTCCAGAATAACCATTTAACAATGAATCAGTTGCAAAATCCATCAAGTATAATTGGAAATTTGATTTTCTATCACCCATGTTTCCTCTAGAAAATATAACCTTATATGAAACTCTTGTTATTCCTTTGGTTTTTTTTTTAAAACTTACAGAGCCTCACAGTTCAATATAACATGAAGGAAAAATTATATTTTCAACATATACTATAACCAATAGGACAAATATCTTTGATACAATATTCGTATCATCTTTAAACCAATCACTATGTGTTTTTTTAAGTAAAAGGTTCAATCTTGGAGGTGATATTTGATGTGTTGGAAATCAAATAGCTATTGGACTTTACATACTTTCTTGGAAAACACTAAATGAAGCGAAAGATGAAGAGAACAAACAAGTAGAAGACAAGTCGATTTAAAGCTATCTACAAAAAGGAAAAGAATAGTCATGTGATATATCCAAATAAGGCCTCAACTCATCCAGATGCCAGATGGCATTTCAACTTCAAATTATTCAATCAAGATCCTAGATGTTTCCTGTGAAAGAGACAACATGTGCCCTTTGACCATGACATTGAAAACTATGTTACTTGAGACCTTCCTACAAACAGATTGTTGTTTTCCTGGAAAGAGAATATAGAACAAAAGCAACAAGGAACACAATATATTGAAAAGAATACTTCAAAGTCATTATCCATGGAAGTCAAGTACAAGAACAGTGTGCAAGATACAACCCCCAAGACCACATTATTGAAGGAGTTATATAGGAATTTGATCACCATTTCATATTGTAGTTGTAATTGCTTACATAAAGCCAACTACAATACAACTTTATACACATAAAAGCCCTTGTTCAATCAACAGTAGCTAGATTTTACTGATTACATGAGTAGTAAAGGACAGTTGTATCTTATTAACACCAATTTCTAAACGAATAGATCATTGGAAACCTGCTTAAATTCTTGCATCTGCTTGAAGTTAATCCAAGGCTTCACCCAAACTTTAGTTTCGTATGCTTTTATCTTTCCAACAGCATCTGTTGCCTCCAATGTGAGATAGTACATCTTACCAGCCACCACCTGCTCTTTCGCCTTTATCAATCTAGAAAACTTGAGAAGGGAGTTCTGCACATATAACAGATATGATTCAGAATTATTAATCTATATCACTTCAATCAACAAAAGAAAGAAAGAAAGCTCTTCGCTAAATACGTTTTTTTAACAATCGTGAATTGGTAAAAAAGCAAACATGTACATACAAAATTCGATCGTAAATTACGGGATATTGACAAAGAGAACAAAATAGGAAGGCAGAAGGCTCGTACAAATCATGAAACAGTACCTCTTTTTTGTTGTGTTCTTCGACAGCAAATCGAGCGAGGGTTTCTATCTCGATCCCGTTGAGGCCTTGTTCCGTGATATCACGAACTCCGCCTAGCTTTTGTGACCTTATCATACCTTTTTCAACTCTGCAAACCCCGAAATCGAAAGTGGCGAACAGCAAGAAGGCAGTGATGATCAGCGATGATGAAACAAAAGGGGATTTGTTAGGGTTCATAGTTTCGAATTGGCGCGGTGTTTTCGGATTCAGATGAGTTTTATTCTGTTTGCGTAGTTAGCTGTTGCTTGAAGCCACAGGAACCACTTAAAAACTTTTTCGGGATTCTGAATTCACCAACCGAATTAACACATGAACTAAAAGTGATCACGATTTCATTTACTATGACCAAAAAGATAGTGATTTATTAAAAAAAAAAAAACATTTTGTAATCTCATGTGAGTTAGCCAATGTATTGTAAAATTTCATATTGAGAAAAAAAAATATTACGTAAGCACTGCATTTAAAAATACATCGAAAAAAAAAAAGTTTAGGAAGTTGTGTGTGTCTGAATAGAATGCTTAAGAGCTAAGGCATTGTCTAAATCCATACTTTATAATTGTTAAAAACTCTATTAAATTCGGTTTTATCTAGAAACCGATTTCATATTGCAGTTGTAAATTATTGTTTACATAAAACCAACTATAAAAACTTAATATACAGGGCCTTAGAGGAAGACAATCAACAACTCAAAACTTTTTAAGCTCATCAAATTAACACCAATTAACTTCTAGACATTTGGATCATCAGAAACCTTAAATTCTTTCATCTGCTTCATGTCATTCCAAGTCTGCACCCAAACTTGAGTTTCATATACTTTTATCTTGCCATCACCATCTGTTGCCTCCAATGTCAGATGATACATCTTACCAGCCACCACCTGCTCTCTTGCCTTTAATAATCTAGAAAACTTTAGAGATGAGTTCTGCATACAATGATACATTAGCAAATCAATGGCTGATCACGACTAAAGATGGAGAGAGGATTTAAAGCCGATATATAACCGAATTCCCAATCTTAAATCTGTGACATACGTTCCTCAAATCTTTCAATATATCCAATCTCAAATTCGAGATGGATATTAATCACAAAATCCATGAAAACAATACATATATTAAGTTGATTGGATGGTAAATTATCAAGCATTTACAACCAGAACGAAATAGGAAGGCTAGTTCGTACCTCCTTTTTGTTGTGTTCTTCGACGGCGAATCGAGCGAGGGTTTCCATCTCGGCCCCGTTTACGGATTGGTCCGCAATATCACGAATTCCGCCTGTCTTTTGATCATTTATCATATCATCTTCAACCGTTTCAACCCCCAAATAAAAATACGCCAACATCAAGAATGCAGAGATGATTAGGGATGATGCAACAACACTGGATTTGTTAGGGTTCATGGTTTCGATTTTGGAAATGGTGCGTTGTTTCTGGATTCAGAAAACCTTTTATTTTTGTTTGCGTAGTTGTCGTTGCTTGAAGCCATAGGAACAACTAAAATATTTTGAGGGCTTCAATTCACCGGCCTAATTTACTTACATTTTTTTAATAAAGTAAAGTGTAAATTCAAGAAGTCGTTATGATTTATTAAGTTATAAAAAATGATAAAATTATATTTTTCAATGTAGCCCTTCTCACTTTTGAAAGTTGAACCAATTTAAATTACGTCAAAATGACTAACAGATTCAAAGATTTTCAATGAGTTGTGTTTGTGTCGGCATTTTTAATCCTTAATTGTGCAGAACTTGAAGGTTTTTCATCACCTTCCTCAAACTTTTTGACATTATATATTAATGAATGAAGAATAGTGAATAGTCCCATCTCAACTTTAAATCATCATTATATTAAGTGGAGTATATATTTATAGCTTTTTAAGGTTTCCATCTCCACCTCCAAGGTTGCCCATGAGTCCACCACACGATTGGTGGTGATGGGTGGTGGTTGGGTGTAATTGGTGGTGATGGTGGTGGTTAGTGATGGGTGGTGATGACGGACAGTGGTAATGGATGGTAGGTAGTGGTGGTGGTTGGGTGGTGAGTGTTTTTAGTTAGTGAGTTTTTTAATTGTTTGTAACTATTTTTTGATTTATATGAAGGAAAATCTTCAGAAAGTCCCAATATTTACAGAAAAAGTTACACTTTAATCGCAAGATTTTTTTTTGAACGAAAAAGTCCTGAAAACCGGCAAAAATTTACAGTTTACCCTATTTGACTGGTTAAAACTGGTAACAAATTAATTTTTGACTATTTCGTAAACTAACCCAAAATATTGGGATTTTTCTTTAAACAAAAAATATTATAGCTTTTCTGTAAACAAAATTATTAGGATTTTTCTACAAACATAACTATTATTATTATTTTTATTATTATTATTATTATTATTATTATTATTATTATTATTAAAAATATAAATAAGAATACTATTTTTTGAGCTTGTTATTATTAATATTGTTATGCATTTAAATGAAAAAAAAAATAATATTAATGACATTATTTAAGGGTGAAGGTGGAGGAGATGATAATGCTTTTAACATTGAAATCATGAATGTTTGCTCGTATATTTTTACTTTATATATGGTCATTTCACATTTGCTATTATTGTTTTCAATTCAGAATATTAATACTTAACAATTTAAAAAAAGTTGTATATTTGTAAAATTGTTTATAAATAGTTTAAGTTAGAAGGATTTCTCACTTTGTATATAAATGTTTAAGGTAGAAAGATTATTTTCCAAATCCAACAGATACACTGCAAACACTACAAACATCTACATAGGTAGCTCATATTAAAATTCAAAACTATTAATTACAATATCTTGTTTAATAAAAAGTAATAGGAAAATTTCAAAAATATTAATCAAAATTCAAAAGTATTAATCCAAAAAACATGTCCTATTACTTTTTATTAAACAATATATTGTAATTAATACTTTTGAATTTTGATATGAGTTACCCATATAGATGTTTGTAGTGTTTGTAGTGTATCTGTTGGATTTGAAAAGGGTATTTTTGTCAATATAAAATGTGTTTGATCTTGTTCATTTTCTTAGTAGTCATTCTTTAACAAATGATTTGTTTATGATATATTTTAGTATTTGAAGGATTGCATTGGTATTACAGATAGGACATATGTGAGGGCATCAGTTCCACAAAACGAGAAAGCGAAGTACATTGGTTGAAAGGGATTTTAACATGTGTTTTACATTTGTATAGGCCAATTGGAAGGGGATTGCACATGGCACAAGAATTTTCAATGAAGGCTTACAGAGACCAAATCTTAATTTTACATATCCAACGGGTGGTTAGTATATATATATTTTTGGAACACAAGTTTTATATTTTTACTACTTTTTTGAAACGAAAAAATAATTTGTTTGTTTTATTTACATATAAATATTTCGTTGTTGATGTCGGATATCCAAATAGTAGAGGGTATCTTGCTCCATACAAAGGCACAAATATTCGTTATCATTTACCATATTTTCAACGTGGACACTCGGCTGCTATTCGTGAATCTCGTGGACCGAAAGAGAAATTTAACTATCTCCACTCATCATTGCGAAATATCATTGAACGAACTTTTGAAGTGTGGAAAGCTAGGTGAGCGTTATTAAGAGATATGCATATTAATTACATGTATAAGAACCAAGTGAAAATTATGATAGCATCGATGACGATCCATAACTATATTAGAAATGTTGGTAGGTTTGATGAAGTGTTTAATAGGGCACAACAAAAATCTTACAATCCCATACGAGATGATACTAGTGGTGAAGTTTACAAAGAAGATCCAAGTACACGTCGCACGAGTGATGATGATTTATATATGACAGCGATACGAGATATTATTGCACAAGATGTAATCACATTGCGAAGACGAATGTAATATAATCTATGATATTTTTTATGAATTATTTACAATTTGTATGAACGTTTTTAATATTATCATGGTCTAATAAAAAAAATCAGGAATATTTAAAAGAAATTTATATTTTATATTTTATAATAAAATGTTTACAAAATTATAATATGTGTTTAAAAAAATTGTTAAGTATAAAATAGTATATGTAAATTATTAAATAATTTTAAATATGTAAACATGTCATTTTACATGTAAAAGTTAAACCAAATATTTTTTTAAAACAACTTTTGATTTTTTAAAAATATCTCTTATAAAATGTCATTTTAAGAAAAGGACTTTTAATGGTAACCTTATTGACTTGATAAATACCTTATTTTAGTTCTATTTCATTGATACCAAGCACCTTCCAAAAAACTTTGTTCCGTGTCCAGTCCACTTCGATTTCTCCCACCAAATGCTACCTAAAAAAAATCCTTGTGCTAAGAGTGTCAGTAAATTTTATATTTTTATGTGCAATATAAAAAGTTTCATTAAATTGGGTATATCTTAGTATTTGGTTCTTTAATTATATTGGACTTAGATGTATCATGTTATTCAAGTGCTGGGTGACTTGGGTCTATTTAATAGTGTTGGGCTCATATTATGGCCATTGGCTTATTATTGGACATATTGCATATATAGGTTTAAGCCCATCTTAGTATCATTAATGTTTAAACTGAGTTGTTCGATTCACATAAAAAGTGGTCTATCGATTTTCGGGAAAAAATTGTCTTTTTTATTTTAGTTTTCTAACATCGTGCTTAAAATTTTTATTATGCCCCAACTTAAACATTTGAACCATCATTGATCCGTTAGTCCATATCCATTGATACTTGTAAACACACATTTTATTTCCTTTTATTTGCATTCCATCTTATAACATAAATCATCACTTGATTTCATCACATACCATTATTAGTGCTTAATTGGTTCCATGTTTGAACATTCATGACATAAATACATGACTCTTCAAAGTCCTAAACATGGAATGAGCTTGTTAGCACTAACACCCATAAGATCATCATAATACAACACATATCCTATTAAATTTGAGGATGTTAAATGAATGATAAAATGATATATTTATATGGAATAATAACATAAAAGCATGAATGCATAATGTGCTTTTTATGTATCAATCTTGAAGTCTTGAAAATCTCAAGGCTTAATTTGTCACAAACTACAACGTATACGAGACTGTAAGTACAATTATTTAATTTTTGTAGATTTGTAATGTTATATTAATAACCGGTTTTCTTAACATCTATAGGAAAAAGAAGTT